GGTGTGAAGATGTTAAGGTGGGCGCCGAAATATTTTCTGGCACTAAAGGGGGGGGGCTCTGAAAGTTCTCGATATACCGAAGGGAGGCTGTAGACTTTTCAAAGTTTTGGTGCAGCAGGAGCCTGGAGTATTCTCTCCCACCATAGTTAATGGATAGATGGCTTGGAAACTCATTAGAATAACAATATAACTCATTATCTATGTTAGTGAACGTTTATTCATAAATCTGGTATTTCACTGTATCACGTGCGTGTTGTATTTTTGCCCGACTAACCAATAGCAATGTTTTAGGAAAGTTACCTATTCGTGACTCGAACAATAGGGTAAATTGAAACCGCAAAAATATAATACACACGTGACGGTGAAGGAATATATTTATGAATAAACGTTGACTAACATAGATAATGAGTTATATTGTTAGTCTAATGAGTTTCCAAACCATTTATTCTATATTAACTGGCATGGGGGAGCTCCACATGGAATACGTAAAAGAAGGCTGCAACACGCCGGCCCCTGTCAAAAATGCATGCAAAAGCACCAATGATGCTTCAATTTCTTTAATTTTCATCCTGTTTCTACCAAATTTGCCATGAATATAGAACATATCACTCTTACAAATCGTATGTTTTTTGTTTTTGGAAATGTTACTTTTTGGCAGGTAAATTACGTCACAAACTTGGCGCCAAAAAATTAAAATAAGTCATATAGGTGATTTTATAAATCCATTTAGAAGAGCAGACTAAGGGTATTTTAAATCTGAAATCTGTTTCTAAATATACAACCATTTTATGGGAAGATATAGCGATACAAATGTCGAAAAATCCGCCATATATTGGAACTATACGAACCTGTTTAGGCTAACTTGAAAAATCTAGGTTATTATAGTCAGGGTCTTACTGCACGACTCTTTCACTACAAAATTAACGTCATTATTGCATTATTAGCTGCTACACTGATTGACTATAAAGCTACAACATTTTATTGCATTATTAACTGCTACAATTGACTGCTAAAATAACGTTATTGTTGCATTATTCAATGCTATAATTGACCATTATACTACAAAATTAACGTATCTTGCATTATTAGCTGCTACACTTCCATATAATACTAGACTACAAAATCAGCGTCATTATTGCATTATTGTATACTACAATTGACTATTTCGCTACAAAATTAACGTCATTGTTAAATTATTCAATGCTACAATTGACCATTACACTACAAAATTAACGTCATTCTTGCATTATTCAATGCTACACTTCCATATAATACTAGACTACAAAATCAACGTCATTATTGCATTATTGTATACCACAATTGACTATTTCGCTACAAAATTAACGTCATTGTTGCATTATTGACTGCCACACTGCAAAATAACCATTAATCTGCAAAATACAATGAGCACTATGGCTCAATGGGCACTACTAATTCGGTACTATTTTCTTTATAAAGAAATGTTTGCAGGGTGAAGCAAAATTCCTTCGTGACATGGTGCAGTGGACCAGGAGGTGTGCTCGCCCTGCGGTGATTTTCACCGATTGCTATCGCCATCCCCCCATTGAGGTGGTAATCAATATGACAATGCATGAACCACCATCCTGGGTTCTTTTGAAGAAAATGAATAACGACATAACCACCAGCGGGCACTATGATTGCGTCTTTACGGACTGTAGTACTATTCACAAAAATCCCGCCGGGGGTGCCATCACTCCATGTTGCGTTCCCGCATGAAGGCAGCTTTAGATCCTTGTTCGGGGCTTTGATATGCCCACTCTCGTCGTATTCAGGGTAGCCAATTTTAGCAATGAAATACGAGTGTCCGTGCATGTGGATTGGATGCGTGATGGGAACTGGCAGACGAAGAGAAGACAGCACAAATCTTGTAGAGTGACCGTCATGAGTTAAGTAGATTGTATGTGGGCAATGTCTTTTTCCAAGTTTTTTACATTTTGCCGGATACGCGCATTCATTTTCAATTTTCTCACTTATAAGGATAGGCTCTTCAGGGAGATCAAACTTAATGCCATTAATCAATCCGACCGACTTATTTTTTTGATGAAAGTTAAAGAAAAATTCATCTCCAGGTTCAACTACTGAATTTGGATATTCATATTTCGGCGTAGGAATCAATAACTGAAGGGCCAGTACGTTAAAGCACATCATATATGAACCTTGATCAGAATAGTCTTTGGGCATTTTCTCGAAAGGACAATTCAGCACCTTACATGGATTGGATTTATCATTACACCGATTATTCTGAACTATCGATCTTGCAGGAAAGGTAGGTCTCATTTCGTCAAAGCCGTTTGTGTACACCAGAAAACCGTAACTTTTCCCAGCTAGCTTGGTATTATCATTGCAAAGAACTGCAAGTGACTGAATCCTGATTGGAAATTTAAAACCTGGCGGCATCCCTTCCTTGGCTTTCAGAATGAAATCATATCGTTCACTAACGTGCACGACAAGATAATCCGTTACAAATGGTTTTACTAAATACCCGTCCGTCGCCATCACATGCATTTCATGATAATCTATGCTGATTACAAAAATGTTCAATATTGTCGCTGAAATAATTCGAAAACGATAGTTCGTACCACCGACCACGTAAAATTCTATCTGGGTGTTCGAATCTACAACACTGGCACGTCTAGGAAGACGCTGGCCATTCATTTGAAACTGGATATGATCAAATTGAACTGGTAGGCCTGACCCATCTGGCAAACAATATCGAGGCGTAACCGATGATTTTTGTTCATTTATCATGCTATCTACTATAGCCATTGTCTTTTTCTCAGGGTGGTCTTCAAATGTTTCTGAGAAGATCGGATAGGCCGATTCTCCTTCGCGTACTATCAACGCACCATATAAGCCATGATCTCTCTGGTAGCGCATATGCGAATGGTACCAGTGTGTGCCCTGAGGTTCTGCTCGGAAGATATACCTAAATTAAAACATATTTATTTAAAGCAAGGCAAAGCATCTCTACTGTAAAGATCGAACGTTCCAGGTTAATAGAGACCTTACTTTGACGTTTAAAGGCGGATTTCAAGTACTCCCACGAAGCTCCTCGAGTGCTTGCATCTAATTAGCCTTTCTCACGATGACGAATATCCGCCATTTTTGGATGCCATCCAATTCTCGTTAACCCATGGTGATGCAGACAATTAAAACAATGTAAAAAGCAATTTTTCAAAAAAATTAACCATTTACAAAGCAAATTTACTATCATTCGTCCAAAAAATTATAAAAAGTCGCTGTTATGTGGATTTATCTCGCGGACTTCGGCTGAAACATAGATATAGGAGATCTAGATTGCTAACGTATACCTAGCGCAGGCGGGGCCTACATGATAAATCCAAGATGGCGGTACAACAGGGCAAAAAGAC